TACAAAAATACTAAGAGTTTATGAATTTTGCTCCAGCGCAAGAATGGCCGCTTGAGCGGAGGAGCAAAATTTGTGAGGCCACCTTGAGCAAAGGAGCCAAAATCTGAGCAACGAAGATTTGGAAAAATAAGCAACCAACCTATTCCAAACACATAATTATAACCCGATAACCAAAATAGAGGGAAGAGAAGGGAAACAAGATATGAATAATCATTCAAAACCATACAAATCTGAGTCCGAAATACAACAAGTGATAGGTCAAAACCGAAACTGCTATAAAGTTGCTTTCTAATGAACTACATCCTATCTATCTATTAGATTTGGTTGTTCAAGCCTTTCTTCAATTTTGCATTTGGGACATAGGAGTGCCATGTTAATGGTTTGCCCACATCAATGTATAATTAAGTTTTACAATAAAAAGTATTTTATAACTCAATAATATCTACTTAGTAGTAAAGGTTAGTTTGGCATGTTTGAAAAAATTTAAAAAATCAAAAAGTCATAATCATATTTAAATCACATCATCCTATTTAAATCACATCACATCTCTAACACATCACTTCAAACCTAACCCAAATCCAAACCCAACCCATATTTCATAAAAAGTCAAAAAGTGTACTTATTTAGATCATTCCAAACAACCCCTAAGTTTTTGAGAAATTATCTTCTTTTTTATAGTTAAAAATTAATTTTTTATTACTTGAGAATTAATAATTTTTGAAAAATCCATTTATAGTTTTGATTGTAAGAATGGAGCAACATGCTTATATGGAATATATTGTAGGAACAATAATAACATACCGATTAAATTTGTATAATTTAAAATTTGATACCATTTTGTAATTAATTGACCAAATTAGTGCCTTAATATTGTACTAACTAAAGATTGACAAATCTCTCTTCATATTTATAAATAATCTCCTATTGATTAACAACATATGAAACTTTTTTCGAATAATTATAAAAAAAATAATTTGCAAATATAATAAAAACTACATCAAATCAGAACTATATGCATATAACAAGCACAACAATTATAATTACCAGAAAATCATATCTAGTTTGAGGAAGCAATTACGTCACATCCAACTAACTAAATTTTTTTCGTCAAAACAACCTAACTAATTTTTTATTTGGAATTTATCTCAGAATCTTTTTATGCATTTCTAGGCCTTTAGAAATCTATAATCTTATATGTTTGAGAATAAATTCAATTAGTCAGAAAGGCAATTCATTGTTTTTATTATACATTCTTTTGTAAAATATATATACATATATATATTAAAAAAATTAATTCCCAAACGAATGTAATTGTAAGATCCAACCTAGTGCCAGCTAGAAATATAGGGTCACATGCCAAACAACCAGAGACCATTGATTCATATCCTCTGTGAATGAAATTTCCAGTTTTTCTCCTTTTTTTTTTTTTAATATACACATATAATTTGGTAGCAAATTTTTCAATTTTAACATAATGTGAAACTGTGGTCTATACTAAAGCAGCTTCAAAAATAGCACTTTCATTAGGTTGTGGTTGATAACGTTGTTAATTTCTTACTTTCTGAACATGTTTTTGTGTTTTGTTAAATTTTTTTTGTTTTTGGTATAAAAATAAATAACAAACATACATATACTGTTAAGTCTTTGTAATTAACAATCTCGTTTGACAAAATTTCTTTCAATTATCGAATAGTAATAGCGTTTTAACTTAGTTTTGAAATTCCGTCAGAAGTTGGCTTAGTTTTGGAAATACAATACAAAAATGGCTTATATTGGGAAATGGCCCCACATGCCAAACCGCCAGAGACCATTGATTCATATCCTCTGTGAATGAAATTTCCAGTTTTTTCTCCTTTTTTTTTGGCCTTATTTTTTTTATTATTTTTTTTATATACACATATAATTTGGTAGCAAATTTTTCAATTTTAACATAATGTGAAACTGTGGTCTATACTAAAGCAGCTTCAAAAATAGCACTTTCGTTAGGTTGTGGTTGATAACGTTGTTAATTTCTTACTTTCTGAACATGTTTTTGTGTTTTGTTAAATTTTTTTGTTTTTGGTATAAAAATAAATAACTAACATACATACATATACCGTTAAGTCTTTATAATTAACAATCTCGTTTGACAAAATTTCTTTCAATTATAATTTTATTTGCTCATTTGTTTCAGTGAGACTGTGAGTATTCAGATGCGAATCTAATCCGAATCTAACTTGAGTTGTGCCTGTGTAGAGGAGTTTGTACTAGCATTCCATATCTTAAGCATCCATTATTTGCCACTTCGCTAATTATATTTGTGTACTCGAGCGATAAAGTTGATAATCTAATATCTATGCTTACAAATTGAATTTTTGGAAAATATATATCACCACTTGAGCGGTGAAATGTGCGGTCAAGTGATTGGCGGTCAAGCGGTGGCTCAAGCGGTCAGCACGACCCGTCCAAATTCTCAAAGAGGAGAAAAATACAAAATGTTCTACATAGGAGGGTGTTAATGTATAGAAAGTGATTAATTGATCAACGAACTACAGAGTGTCAAACATCATGAGTTGATTTTGTTCTTTTATTCACATAAAAATATAGGTGTTCTTTGGTGGATTATGAGGAACTTAGGCTTGAAATTTTGGTAGATTCAAGAGTAGTTCTTCGTCTTGGATTCAATATCGACGTTGTGGATTCAACGTTAGACAAAGTTATTCTGAGGTGAAAACAGTGGTGGAAGAGGCAAATCGGGTTTGGTTCAATTCGGGTATAGATTCGCTAGATAATTGAGGGTACTCGTATGCAATTCCTTTTTATCTTTTTAATAGATTGTATTGTAGTTTTAGCCTATGATTTTTTATTACAAATGGAGATATTCTAATTATGATTTTTTTCATGTTAAATTGTTGTATTTGTTATTAATTGTTTAATTGATATTAATATTTACTATTTAAAATTAAAACATAATTACGAATTAATATTTTGAGATTATTTAGATTTTTTATATACTTTTTAAAATACATAATAGAAAATAAAAATATTTTTGATGAGTTGTTGGAAGGAAAAAGTGGTAGGAGGTGGTCATGAGAGGGTAGGGTGGTTAGAGCCTAGGGGGGGTTGTGAGAGACTCAAAGCGAGGTTAGGAATGGAGGTGGACCATAGAGGAGTAAGAAGAGGATGAAATTTTATTTTTGAAACAAATAAAGATTGCCATTATTTTTTGCAAACGAAAACAGTTGTCAAACGTGTTTTCATTTCTAGTTTTCAATTTTATGAAGAAAAGGAAAATTGGAAAAAAAAAAAAACAAAAACGTTATCAAAGCATGGCTTACACATGCCCAAACAAGACATAATGTTTGGCAAATTCATGGAGTTCGAACATTGCCAAACGCAAGTTGACAATCAAAGAGAGAAGAAAACTATATCCTGGGATGTTTAGCGGATATTTTGATCCGTTTAAATTGATTGAACCATCGCATTTTGGATGAATGTATGATGATAAGAAGATAGTTGTGGATTAATTTTTTTTTCAATCCATCTAATTTTAGACGAATGGCGAATTTGAGGTTCCTTTGACCGCAACCAAACTGTCAAACCACGAGCATCCGTAATAATTTGTAAGACCTTGTATTTTTAATTTATTTAGATATTCTGTTTGTGTTTTTAACTGAAAAAGAGTTTAAATATTTTGTTGTGTTTTCAATTTGAAAATCTTTTTATCAATTGACAAGTATTGATATTTGATATTTTTGTGTGAAAAATATAAGGCTTAATTTTGTCTTTTTAAAAAAAATCAAATTAAATAGTTTTTGAATAAAATAATAATAATGAAATAGTTTTGATAATACATGATTTTCTTATATGCATTTATTATTGGTATTTAACAATTTACTTGATAATTTTTTAATTATGTTGAGTTTGATTGTTATCTAAAAAAAATATTGACAAATTATTGTATTACGTTCAAAATTTGTAAAAGTTTAAACCGCCAAACTGATTCGCATCCATCTGCCAAACAGATCCAGATTAATTTTTTTCAATCCGTCAATTTAACAAACAGATGGTAAATTGAAAGCTCCCTGGTCATAATCAAACCGCGAACACCCTTGCTATATACCACTTGTGCCTTGTACAATTATAAGTGGCTCTACCAATGGGTTTGTAACTCTACGATATGACCCGCCTCTCACATGCGAGAGGTCAGCGAGAGTCTAATGGCAATCAGTCACCCGTTACAACTGTCATTAACAATTCTCATTCACCACTCTCTTAAATATTGACTTAGATATATATATTGTATTTGAATCCTTAAAAAAAATATTTATAAATGGCTCTAGGGAAGCAATGTAATTCAAATGTTTAGAAAAAGCTAATAATACTTTTGGATGGAGAAGGACATGATGATGGGATGGATTTTTGACTTGTAAAAAAAAAAATGGAAGCCATGATTATATAGAGGCCATTAGTGAAGAGATAGGGTCACTGTGAGAGACTAGGGGCCACACATTCAATTGATTTTTTTTTCTCTTTTGTGGGGTTTGATCAATGGAGGAATCCCAGAAAAGTGTGCCTTCACATTGGTTGACAAATTAATTTCTTTCTTTTTTGCTATGTTACATGTTGAAACCAACAGACAATATGCCTCATCAAATCTCCACTATGGTATAGTGATGGCTGAGGATGATTCTCCATGTCTCACTCTGGTCCATCCTCTTGTTTGAAACACTCTCTATTATGGGATTATCTTTGATCTCCTTAACTTTGATCCTGTAGTAGAGAAATAATTTAGGACAAAAGACAGAAGAGAGAGGATTGTGACTTGTGTTTGGATTTTGAATTTGTTGGGAAAAAGAAAAGAAAATGGAAAAAAATTGATTTTTTCAACAAACTCAAGATTCAAACACAATAGTAGCAGAACGATCATGCAAGTATGTTTTCTTGCGCATGGGCATGGTCAATGCATGCATATAGGATAAAAATGCCAAATGATGATGAAGCATACTCTCAGAGCAAGATTTTTTGAAGTGCTTTTGATTACTTATGGGCCTATGGATCCCAATGCGCACACACACACATGTTAGGCCTTTGTACAACCATGGAAATCCTTACTAGATTTGCAATGATAGGAGTTCAGAGACACAGCAAACCAAAGGCCTTAAGCCATGTTGGCTTTTTAGTACAAGATCTTAGCATGCCTTAGATGATCAAGAACAATTAATTCTATTGGAAGTCTGCTTTAACAAGAAGCAAATAATGTTGTAACCTGTTAACTTCATAGAACCTTTCTGTCCAAATGCATGTAGTCCACATCTTCACAGACATCTATTTCATTGAGTCTCTCTTTGAGACAATGCCCAGATCATCACACCTCAACATCAAGTTTAAGGTTTGTTCTCAACAATAAAAAAGAACCAACAGGGCTAGTCCATTAGTCAAGAGCAGTTGCACCTTGTTACGAGGTGAGGGCTTTGCCTCCCCTCACCTACGTGTCAATCTTTCCTCCCTTATGATTGTTTGGGGTTTTCGCTCCCACTTTACGCGTTGTACATATTTGTAACTTCCTTCTACAGTCACAAAAAAATAAAAATAAAAATAAAAATAAAAGCAAGCAATGAGAATTCCAAAAAACTACACTATAGCCTAAAAAACACCTAGAAATGGCATAATCACATAGAAAACTTCATGTAGGTTGAGAGAAATCATTCAACAGATTCAATCTGGTAGATGTTTCATGCTTCAAAACTGACATATCCAAAGCATTACAATATTGTGCCGTAATGACTACACGATTTTGTTCATTACAGTTCCATTTTGTGATTGCCACATCCGTCCTCTCTCTCTCGCTCTCTCTCTTATCATAATCTAACAGTTGAAATGTAACTTCACATTTATATACAGTTGTACAATATCAGTTTGCATACATAATTTTTCTCATTTGAGTAATTTAACAAATGGGGAACTATTTCACTACATTTTGAGGTCTTGCTGCCTGTGCTACCACATTGCACTTGGAATTTGGAAATACTACAAACAAGTGACTCACAACTCATGGATAAGAAACATTAAGTTTACCTAAATTCTAAAACACTGTCATCGGACTGGTTTCGATGCAGTCAAGGGTGCAAAATTACTACAATTGGTTACCATGCCTGAACTAGAAAGCCCCATCAGTTTTCCTATTAAAACCATGACTTGTTACATGAAAGGAATCAAACTATACCTTTCTTTTGATCATGTTGCAGCAGGCTAGCCAGTTGTAGTTCTACGGAGCTTACGACAATACCAATTGCCCTGCAGCTTAGTCAGGAGCCAAAATTAGCTACAATTGTAATACTAATCATAAATTTGTCCACTCTTGTGTCAATTTCAAACCTTATAAAAGCTTTTTAGTATGAAACATAAATTGTTTTAGAAATTAACTTACGTGAGAGAGTTAAACCAAGAAAGCATAGCAAAAACCAGGAGGCATCTTGTCTTCCTGCATTTTTTGAACCTAGAATTGAAAATATCAACCATGTCATGCAGAAAACAGAAAAGCAACTCAACCTTCCATGCTTCATATTACAAGTTATCTAATGTAGCATGATAACCAAATTCCCCAAAGGAAGACTATAGCATGATCAAACAAGGATTATATCAAGGGTTAATCATTATAGATGGGCGGTCCGAGGGGGTTTATTATCGGGTTTTGTGGTGGGGGAGGGGTCTGCCTCTTTGGTGGTCTCTCGCATATTCTTTGCTGATGATGCGTTGATTTTTTGTAATGCGGAGGCTACTCAGATTCGCAACTTGCGATATGTTTTGTTATGTTTTGAGGCGATGTCAGGGCTGTGGGTTAATTTGTCAAAATCCGAATTGATACCTGTGGGTGAGGTGGCTCGATTACCGGTGTTGGTAGCCATCTTAAAGTGGCGAAGTTGCCAATTTCTTATTTGGGACTTCCCTTGGGGGCTTCTTTTAAGGAGACTCGAGTGTAGGATGGGGTGGTGGACAGAGTTCAGCGGCTGTTGGCAGAGTGGAAGTGCCAATACTTGTCAGGGGGGGAGGGGGATTGCTTTGATCAAGAGTGTTCTTTCCAGCGTTCCAACGTACTTTATGTCTATGCATGTGATTCCTGTGGGGTTGGCAAAGAGGTTGGAGAAGCTGCAATGGGATTTTTTGTAGAGTGGGTTGGCAAAGAGGTTGGAGAAGCTGCAATGGGATTTTTTGTAGAGTGGGGGTGGGAAGGGTTTTCATTATCATTTGGTGGCTTGGGAGAGGGTTTGTAATTTGAAAAGGGGGGGTTTGGGTGTGCGGAAATTGGCGGTGTTTAATCGGGCTTTATTGGGTAAGTGGTTGTGGCATTTTGCGGGGGAACGGGAGAGACTATGGAGGAGGTTGGTGGTGGCTAAGCATAGAGAGGAGAGGCAGGGTTGGTGCTCGCAAAGGGTGGTTCAATCTCATGGTTGTGGTTTGTGGAAGGGGATTGGTTGGGGAGGAGTTGGTTGCTTTGGTTAGGGTGAAACAAGGGGAATCAGTTGTTTGGAATATTCGTCTTCGTCGTGATGTACAGGATTGGGAGCTAGACCAATTGGTGGATCTTCTAGGCTTTTTGTATGGATTGCAGACTAGGAGGGATGGAATGGATTCTTTAGTATGGGATGTTCGGAGCTCTAAAGGTGTTTTTTCAGTGTCCTCATTTTATGGGGTGCATTCAGGGGGAGTTGGTGGTGTGTTTACTTGGAAATGTATTTGGGCAACGGGTTCTCCTTATAAGGTCGCTTTCTTTGTTTGGACAGCTGCTTTGGATCGTATTCTCACTATTGATAATTTGATTCGGCAGCCGCATGCATTGGTGAATTGGTGTTGCATGTGTTGCAAGGATGCGGAAACAGTGGATCATTTGCTTCTTCATTGCCCGATTGTGTCCAGACTTTGGAATTTTCTTGTTGCTTTGTTTGGCTTAGTGTGGGTGCAACATAAGTCTTTATTGGGAGTGTTACAGAGTTGGGGTGGGACTAGGGTGGGGAAGAGGAGCCGGAAGGCTTGGGTGCTTGCTTCCATTGTTTTCTTTGATTGGTATGGTTAGAACGGAATAGGTGAGTGTTTTAGAATGAGTGTCATTCCTTTTTATGGTTACAGAGCAGGTTGTTGATGGTGCTGCATAGTTGTTACGAGTACAGTCGATCCCAATGTTTTGGTCTTTGTAGACTTTGTAAAGGATTTGATTAGTTAGTTTTGTTTAGTCCTTTTGTGGGCTGCTTTTTTGTATTCTTTGTATCGTCTTGACGCTTTCTAATAAAGTTTGTTTATTTATCCAAAAAAAAAAAAAAAAATTCATTATAGATACCACATCTGATGTTCTTTTGCTACAACAAGCAAATAACTTATAAAAACAATAGATGCCAGCTTCTTTCAAGTAGCTAAAATAGCCTGAAGTACGAAAAGATTAAATTGAATAAAATATGAACAATACCAACAATGGCTAACCCTTACCTATTTGAAGTTGAAAGCAAAATCATTTCAGTTAAGACTGAGATACTATGGTGTATCTCTAGCAAGTCTAAAAGTCCGCTCATAAAATAGACATTTTCAAAATCTCATGCAAGTGCAACACAGACAAACACTAAGAAGCACGGACATACCGATACAACAATTTTCAAAAAATACAATATATGACATGTGGGGGATGAGCAAAATATATAGTTTTTCATGCATTTATTATGTCATAAATATATGAATACTTTATTTACAGATAATAAAAGAATACAACATAACACCCATTTTAAAGTTTAAAGGAGAATGGATTAGTAAGCATAAATCTACATTATTATTATTTTATCATTGTATCATTCCTAACTTATTTTGTTCTAAACTTGTAATGTGTTTTATGTGTCTAAGCAATAGGACACCTCTAGAGTTTGGACGTGTGTCTAATGAGTTTTAATGTCCAATACAAGTCTGACATGGACATGCTACCTTCTTAAAAGCTGTAGACATTAAAATTTTCACATGCCTTAGACACCGTCAGATTGGTTAAGACAAGTAAATTTTTTTTATTAAACAAATCAAGATGGTCAAAGCCTTCAAATAAATCTAGGCCCCGCCAAAATTACGGGATACAACCCATTTCAAAATATGAATCACACCAAAAGAAAAGTGTCAACTTGTTTTGACAGTTGGGTCAAACAATTGGTCCAACCCAAGGGTGCAGGTCTCACAAGGACACTTTCAAAATCTTTTACAGAGTTGGAAATTGGAGGAAATTCAAATTCAAGGCACAGACTTTTCTATAAAATGAGAGACAAATTTATCTTATTTTGGAAATTATAATAAATTAAATATTAATTTCAAATTTTAACACCTCCTCCTTTTTGCCTATAAATAGAGGCCCCAGGGGGCCTTTTGGTTAGTTCTCTGCAAAAATTCTAAAGCGGCCTTTGGTCGTAAGCACTCTAAAAAATTTGTAAGAATCTCTTCCTAAAGTTCTCTCCAAAGTTGTGGACAATGCGCCTATTGAGCTAGTCGCCTGGATATTGGGCTAGTAATTTAGACACTTCCACTACCACCTTTGACTGTAGGTGGTTAGTTTGACTATTCACTATGACCATGTTAATCACATGCCAAAGCATATTTCTTCACTACGAATGTATCCTCTCTATGTACTTTTATTTGATTGTTTGACTTGTCACCCAGTGGTGGTGTGTTTCATGAATTGCAAGAGGGGTTTATGACTATTCTTCAAGACTCTAGTGATACTGCTGAGAAGGGGACTACTCTTCCAATTCGCTCTCCTTTCCTTGGTGCTTGGGGCCTAAAGTTTGAGCCAATTGGTGGTTCTTCATTTTCCGCAAAGGGTTAACGAGATTTCATGTGAATTGATTGGAAGCCAATCAAACTCCAAGATATTGTTGCAGAAGTCCTCTGATCATGAGAAACTTAGCCCATTTTCTATTGTTGAATGTGAGATTCATGCCCAAAAAGTGGTGTGGGCACTATCTTCAAAGGCAATTGGAAACCTTTTTGTGAAGGATATTGGGAGTGGTTATGTATTGAGGCAACATCATTAGACGTTGCCGCAAGCGCACATTTTTTATGCAATCTATTCCTCTTTATTCTCATATGCCTGAAATCTAAGTATCATGCGTGCCTTTTGTGAACTTTGGTTCCACTAAAACCCTTCACACTTTTAGAGACGAGATGCCAAACTCTCTATAGGACTTGCGTCAACTTGGTGGGCTCCTTATCTGAGTGCCATATAGGATGAGGTTGTGCCGAATGCTAAAAAGATGATCGGTAATATCAAGCACAAGGAGTTTCTTCTTCCAGTTAGTTGTCATTATATTTTCCTTGTTTACCACCGGCTTTGTAAGGGATCAAAGAAGAATGTGGTCAAAATTACTAATTAGGTCAAATTTTGGTTCAAAGGGGAAGTCAAGTATCACAGAACCATTAAGGCTTCAAGGAACAAGACTCAACGAGCTAAAGAAACTAACCACCCTTCTAGTGCTATTGACTTAGTTCCGTCTCGAACTATCAAAGCAAATAATGTTTTTAGTGAATTAGGGGTCAGTGGTGCAGCTAAAGAGCAAACCTATTTAGCAGCCTTTCTTGTTTGGTGGTTGTGCAAATTTGTTCTACCCCATGGGGATGGTGATTCGATTAGATTTGGGGTGTTCAAAGTCGCGAGTATGGAGTGTTCAAAGGTTGCACATTCAGCATTGTCATTCCCTTGCTTGTTAGTATCTACAAAGGGCTAAATAAAATTGCTTCTTCTGAATTTGTAACACTACCTTTCTTGTCCATTATAATTTATACTTACACTTGATTAGGGGAGTATTTCAACACACATTTTAGTGTCGATTCTACTCTAAAGCCTGGGATGAGAAGTTATGCTAGTGAGAGGATGGCCAAACATTTTAAAGAGTTAAAGGCGCATGAATTGTTTATTCTATGCAAAGATTTGACATTGCATCATTTGGCATATGGAGAAGGTAAAAACAAGGTGTCAGTTGACGATAACCAACTTTCTAATTCGGATTTTCAGTATTTTATCAGTATCTGATCAAGCCTTTTGACTTTGTAGAGTGGTTCTGCTGCAATCAATGAATCGTACAGTCCTCATAGGTTTAGGAGGCAGTTTGGTTTTTATCAAGATATCCTAAGTAAACTCAAGGATGACCTTTGGACTAGTGGCCTAGAGAATATTGTTCAGTATTGGTACTCCTGTGTTCGTGATAGGACTTCCATTATGTATTGAGGTTGACAGAGCATTTTAACCTATGAAACACCGACACTTCAAAACAAGTGCCATATCCGTGTCGGACACACCGATACTTCGGTGACACGTATGGGACACATCACATGGCTTGTCCCCTTATTTAATTAATTTATTTTCAGGGGACATGCCAGGGGCAGGGACACTTAGTACTTTTGATGAATGTTAAATGTTTATTATTTTTTTCTTAAATTTAAATACTTAATAGATCATCCATAAAATATATATATATATATATAAACTGTAAATGTTAATTTAAAAGTGTTCTAAAAAAAAAAATAGAATTAGAATTAATTTTTGTTAATATTGATTGTTTTGTAGATGTAATATTAATCTAGATAGCAAAAAAAAAATATGAAAACTGTTAAAATCCACTTCACCTCTCCACCTACTTCACCCACTTAAACCTACTCCACTAAACCTAACCCACTACACCACTACCACCTCCACTTCACCTACTCCTTACCTACTACACACTCACCCTCTTCTATATATAGGAATCATGAATCATTGTAATAGATATCAATATATATCAATTAATAATACAATCATTTCTCTTTATACATTAAATTTCTACATGGTATCAGAGCAAGGTTAACAACCTAGTCATTCTGCTTCACCGGCGGGCGGCAGTCTCGCCTTGGCCGCCCGCCGGACCTCAACACATACCTCCTCTCCTTTCACCTTGGTCTCACCTTTCCGATGCTCTAGTCTATACCATTGAGGTGCCAAAGGGCTATCTGGTGGAACCCTTGTAGGCACTTCATTCATGTCGAAAGTCACTTTCGCTATAATATCATCACCACCTTCATCGGCGTCATCCAAGTCGGCAACGGCAGTACACTCTGGGCACAGTACCATGCCTGACCGGTTCAGGCCCTTGACCAAGGAAGCCCCAAGCCCACTTGTTAGGTGGCCTTGGTTCATAGCTCTTGCTTTCCTTTTGTATGCCTGGAGAACAGTCTTGTGGGAGTTGTCCAACTGAAAAAAGGTTTTATCAAGTATTACCCAGTTCATGGGATACCTCTTAAAACTTGCACTGGCCCTTATTTTCCATTTCATTGGTGATCCAGTAACTTCTCTGATCAGAGGAATAGAAACTACACTTTACACCATTCGAGCTTTCTACTCAGCAGTGATAGCATATACTCCTATTCCAGAGCTGACTCTGATCATCGTGCTGGTGTCTTCCGTAATTGCCATTGCTGAAGCTTCTGTTCCAGACTCTGTAGACAGCCAACCATACCTTCTTACAGTAGCTGGCTTAATCGGTTTTGCAGCCGTGAGAGACTTCATCTCCGAGCTGTCCTTCTGGACGCTCCTATTGGGATTGTTTGGTTTTGCTCGGTTTGTTAAGAAGAGGGATTATGTTTCTCCTGTGACAGCTACTCCGAATCCAGATGTTCTCATCTGTACACTGATGTTTTCCATCGCTGAAACAAAGTTTGGGACGTAGATTTTGCTGTACCACTTGGCATATACCACTCCACTTCCTTTTCCTCTCATCTTCTCCGATGCTCAGATTCTCCAACCCATATTTTTTCTTTTTTCTTTCCACACACTCCTGTTCCCCACTCAACTTTCTTTTTCTTTTTTTTATTATTTTACTCCATCTTTTGAAAAGAAAACGAAACACAAATTGATTCTTTTTCTTATATATATATATATATATATATATATATTTCTTTTTCTTCTTTCCACCGCCCAACTTTTCCTTGAAGGTAATAAAATATTAAACTTAGTAGCATGACAATACCATCTCAATCACCATAATGATCCCAACATTCCCTTAGTTTCACAGTTGCTAAGAAAAACCAAATAGACTTGCATAGATGTGAATGTAATGAAAAACATAATTAATTTCTTCCTAGTCATGTGCAGCAGATGTGTACTTTTATTTCCTTGGGACATCCAAGCTCCGCATAAGGGTTTAGCCTTCGTGATCTGGTAAAGTAAATCCATTTATATAAACAATGAGCACAGTGAACTAGGGGTGGCTAAACCTCGGGCTGGGCCGGGTTTGCACTACGTATTAAGAAAATATGTGTCATCCCAAGCCCGACCTAACCTGACATCGAGCCTAATGCCCGGCCTTAAAAAATATTCAAATCCCAAGGCAGCTCATTTAACCCAATAGATATAATGAATTAATCTTTTATTTTTATTTTTTTCTTCAATGAATATTAAATTATTTAGTCTTTTATTTATTATTTGAATTTGGAATGTAACAAAATTCAACGATAAAATAAATATAATTTTTAACAAATGTTTTAATTTAAGTCCTAGAAAGAAGTATATATGCTCTTTTTTTTGTCTTTTATATTTTTCCTATTTTATTTTATAGCTAAAATAATATAAAAGTATAATTAATATTTGTTAGAATTTACCATCACCTACCACCAATTTACCATCACCTACCACCAATTTACCATCACCTACCACCAATTTACCATCACCTACCACCAATTTACCATCACCTACCACCAATTTACCATCACCTACCACCAATTTACCATCACCTACCACCAATTTACCATCACCTACCACCAATTTACCATCACCTACCACCAATTTACCATCACCTACCACCAATTTACCATCACCTACCACCAATTTACCATCACCTACCACCAATTTACCATCACCTACCACCAATTTACCATCACCTACCACCAATTTACCATCACCTACCACCAATTTACCATCACCTACCACCAATTTACCATCACCTACCACCAATTTACCATCACCTACCACCAATTTACCATCACCTACCACCAATTTACCATCACCTACCACCAATTTACCATCACCTACCACCAATTTACCATCACCTACCACCAATTTACCATCACCTACCACCAATTTACCATCACCTACCACCAATTTACCATCACCTACCACCAATTTACCATCACCTACCACCAATTTACCATCACCTACTGCACCACTACCACCTCCACTTCACCTACTCCTTACCTACTACACACTCACCCTCTTCTATATATAGGAATCATGAATCATTGTAATAGATATCAATATATATCAATTAATAATACAATCATTTCTCTTTATACATTAAATTTCTACAAAAACATATTTTATTGTCATGGCTCCGTCGTGTCTGTGTCCCAATTTTTTTGAAATTGCCGTGTCCCATGTCCACATTTGTGTCCGTGTCCATGTTCATGTCCACATCTGAATCTGTATCTGTGCTTCTTAGATTTTAACTTTCCATCTCTTTCCACTACTAAGACACATTCAGAGTGGCGGTCTTGACTTTATGGGGACTATTTCTCTAACAGAGACAAGTCTATCCCAAGGGGTAAACGCCTTGCTTCACCAAATCAACAGATAGCTAAGGCTAATCTCAAAGCCAAGAAACTGATTTGAGGATGCATTAGTGGGATCCCTGTTGAAGTAGTGGATAATGAAAAAAGCAATGATGACCACAATTGGCATCACCTTGGGAAAAAATCTAGTACTAGCACTGTTGGAGGGAGCATTGTTATATTTGATGATGTGGATTCCTTCTTGCCATGTATTCTTAGCACTTCCCAACCTAACAACTAATGAAGCAATAGGAAGAACAAAGGTTGTTATTTGTCATTCTTGGAATTTTAATTATCACTTCTATCCATATTTGTTCTTATGACAACCCTTTAACTCGGTTTGATAGTTGCCAAAGGATGACTTTGATTTAGAGTCTAGAGACGAAAATATGAATCATCTTGATGAGCTCTCTAACAATGAGGCAACAGTTCAAAGGCCATGAACCTTTGATTTGGCGATTGGACACAAGAGTAGTCCTCTGGTTAAATAACTCAAAAAAGAATAATATTAGGATCATAAAAAAAATCATGAAATGCTTCATGAATATTTTTCATCCTTTGATTAGTGTGTGGTGTTTTATTGTATGTGTAATCTAAAGATGGAGAATATTTCATGACCATGTTCATGATATTTTTTTCATGATCCCTAACATTACTCCTCAAATAAACCAAGCCCGGTCTTTACCCAGTGCTCCCATGTTGAGTCAAGTCATGCCTTTTGGGGCTTCTACCATTGATATTAGGAGCATGATTCTCAGTGCAAGCCATTCAGAAGCTTTGATACTTGACAGCCATATTAAGAGCTTGTTGAGAAAGTCAACCCCATGGGCAGGAAGGTTAAAACAGTCAATAAAATTGACTTCAACAGTTGACGGAATGACTACAACTCCCATTTAGAAAGCTCCATCATTAGGCCCGAGGCTCCAAAAACTTTACGAAGAGCTCTCAAAGCTTCACATTGACTATTCTCCATTACAAAGTCTTATTAAGAAAGACATGCAAAATGTTGCTAAGTATGTCTCTATGCAATCAGCCTTCGCTCAAGGGATGACTTCAACGTTGCAGACTCAGTGTTTAAGTGTTGTCTATCAGCGCATTACCCATGCTCTACCCTTTTTTCTTTTTGATAAATACCCATGCTCTAGATGATCAGTCACAGCAACTTGAGGCTTCAATTAATGTTGTTGATGCCAAGGTAGTTCAAAGGCGAATTGTCGTTTCCACTTTGAGGGACTAACAAGCTACCATAGAGGCAATTGAGGTGATAAAGAGTGAACATATCAAAGTCGCCAACAAGTTAGAGAAGTTTTTGAAAGCCAATCAAGGTGAGATCTAGAGTTTAACATGGTTGCCATGATTCTTTTCTTTTTTTTAATTTTTTTTTCAACTTCGATGTAACTTGCTGCCTTTTTCTAATTATGTGAAAGCAGAGTAAAACGCTTCATTAAACAAAGGTTCTTTTATTGATTTATTAGTCATTCACAGTCTTGGAAGAGATTGGCAACCTCTTCTTGCACACATATCACGCTTTGAGGACAATTGGCAACTTAACACATCTTAGTGATTGAATGATTTCTCTTTTCGTTTGGTTGACTGAACATGAAATAGATTCCCAAACTACCTACATACCCTTGGAAGAGATCAAGTTTTTTTTGGTTGATTGGTCTTGAGATATACTCCTAAGCTACCTCTGTATCCTTGGAAAAGATCAAGTCAAAACGTAGTTCATACGAATACATCGTTTTTTTTTTTTTTTGTTCTTTTTATTATTAGATTAGGTCATTCGCTGTTTTAGCCCATGTCATGTGGGCTTGAAGCATCATGCAATTTAAGCTCAAGCAGTACACACAAATTGCATGTCCTTCAATAAATACAAGAAAAATATGCACGAAAATTCAATTTTATTAATTTTCAGAATATAGATAGGTACAATCCTCTGTGGTTTACACCAGATTATTAATTTTCGTCATCCACTACTTCACCAGGTAGTTCACTAATGCCTCCTCAAATCACTTTCTTGGCTTGAGATTAGAGCATTGCTCAGCAATTACACACTTTTTAGTGTTGGTGAAGTAAGGCGTTTACCCCTTGGGATAGATTTCTCTCTGTTAGAGAAACAGTCCACATAAAACCGAGACCACCACTCTAAATATGCCTTAGTTTAGTAGTAGAAAGAGATGGAAAGTTAAAATGTTCTGGCAACCTCAACACAAAATGAGTCCCATATCCATTCGACTATAGCTCAATAGGCACATTCCCCTCAATGGTCAAACTAAAGACCTACTGTCGATGGTGGTTGTAGAAGTGTCTAAAATAACCAGTCCAATATCCAGTCAACTAGTTCAATAGGGGCATTCCTCCACCATGGTCAATTTAATCACCTACGGTCGAAGCTGATTGTGGAAATGTCTAGATAACCAGTCTATAATATAGGCGCCTAGCTCAATAGAGGCATTTCCCCACAATGGTCAAAGGTGGTGGTGGAAATGTTTGAATATAACTAGTCCAATATCCAGGCGACTATGATGATGATGATGATGATGATGATGATGATGATGATGATGATGATGATGATGATGATGATGATGATGATGATGATGATGATGATGATGATGATGATGATGATGATGATGATGATGATGATGATGATGATGATGATGATGATGATGATGATGATGATGATGATGATGATGATGATGATGATGATGATGATGATGATGATGATGATGATGATGATGATGATGATGATGATGATGATGATGATGATGATGATGATGATGATGATGATGATGATGATGATGATGATGATGATGATGATGATGATGATGATGATGATGATGATGATGATGATGATGATGATGATGATGATGATGATGATGATGATGATGATGATGATGATGATGATGATGATGATGATGATGATGATGATGATGATGATGATGATGATGATGATGATGATGATGATGATGATGATGATGATGATGATGATGATGATGATGATGATGATGATGATGATGATGATGATGATGATGATGATGATGATGATGATGATGATGATGATGATGATGATGATGATGATGATGATGATGATGATGATGATGATGATGATGATGATGATGATGAT